TTTAAGGTTAAGGGTTTAGGGTTGCGAGCTCTGCGCAGCACGGCAGCTTGAAGGATGTCAGCTAAGCCCAAAGAGCTTTGAAAACAAACTCTTGGCTGAGAAGCTCAAATTAGGGATATAGGGTATATATTGGGGTTATACTGGGATAATGGAAAAGAATCTGGAAACTACTATTTGAAGTTGCTTCTGCAGGCGAGGAGCTGATGAAGTACCAAGCGTATGGCTTGCCCTGCAACTTGGCACAACAGCACGGAGCATGTCAAAGTCTGATCAGCTTGGGCCTCGCCTGTAGGCGAATGCCTTGTGTTGGGCCCCTACTAGTCCTTCTTTTAAGGTAGTCCTATGATGTTCTGATACAGGCTCCATGAGTTTAACATTCCAAGTGGCACAGGCCGCACATCATGGGGCAACTGCTAAATTAGCTCAACGCTTCTGGCGGCATGGAAATCGTACAATGACCGTGCAATGCCTGAGTAGCTATGTGCCGAACTCAAAGTGCTTTCCCGACATTCTGATCTAATCCTGCAACAAACAGGGGCTCGGCTATGGAGCTTCCTCAACAGGGCTTTGCAATCCTCTGCCTGCAAGGAACGCATCCTGTGGTACCAGGTTACCCGTCGAAAGTGCACACTACGGAGAGCACAGTTGACCCAGGAAGCTGCAAACACCGTTTGCAGAGATCAGTTCGCCTTGGCAATGACGACTGTGTCGGGGATGGAGAAACCAAAGTTGTCCGCAAAGCCTTAGAAGGGCCCACAAGCGAGCAGTGTTAGCGAGGTGCCGACGGTAAGGCGACATCTTGCTGAACAAAAACTCCCCGGAAGCTTATAAGTCGCCCAGGATGCTACTGGGCCACTGGAGCTTGATCGTAGGGTTTAAGGTTTTGGGATTAGGGTCCATGTGGAGCCTGGTCAAGAGTCTGTGCAGAGCATGTCGAACCAAACAAGACTAAACGTAGGAGATTCATTCATGCGTTACATTCCTAGAGAAAAGCAGGCCGTGAGATGCAGATTCTGAGTAGCAAGCTCAGGATCAAACTTATCTTCCCTGGTTCCTTCTCACGATCACTACTCATGCAATCGTCAGGCAACCAAAGCCTGAAATTCGAGGCTCTCTTCCTGTCAGGTGCTAATCCTCATACAAACATGAGCAATATTTATCGTCACAACCGCAATGATACCCACAACCGCGCCCAATCCTTGAGACCTTGCTGTCGTGGTGCTGCGGCTCTTGTTCCGCCGATGGCCCCATCGCCACAGTAGCTCGTAAAGCTCCACTATGCACCTCCAGTTGGAAAGACAAGTAATACTGATGGCCGCAACAGCATCATAGCAAACCCCTGCCTACACTCATCGTCAGATAAACAAGCAATTGGCGCACCAGAGTCGCAACCTAGGAAACTCTAAACTTCAAAGCAATACATATATGCATATATGTGCACATTGGGAAGCACTAGTCTTATCTAACGCTTCTAAATGAATGCAAGATCTTGCCTGTTATAACACGAGTATTTACATACCCACATTAAAAAAAGGGACAAGAAAAGGGAGGCGTGTTACTCAGAGCGCATCAAAGGGCAGGAGCTGCCATGTCTCGGCGAAGGGACCTCTGGCTTAGTATCCATACCACCAAGCCGTCTTGACGGAAGCGTCAGCGACTTTTTCCCGACAAGTTGCACTGATGAGTTGAGAACTTATTGACTGCGCACACTGTCCACCCCTGCTCTGAAGGAATGAGAAGTACGCTTCAGACGACAGCATCATATAACCCTGTAATATGGTACCTTCCATTTTCTTTTCCATCATCCTAATACAGCCCCAACATGCATTAAACCTGAACCACTCCTTAAACCACAGCATCTACAATTTTGACGTGGCATAGACTCAGGGATGCCAGCTTCCATGTATGCACCGTGTGCCACATGCCCAAGTTGCAACTCCGCCCCGAAGTCCAGTGCAACCCACATGGACCCTGAGGTACATAAGGAGAGTTGACCAAAAACCCTCAAACCCAATGGCCTAAAGCTAACCCAGAAGGGCTCATAAACACCAAAAAAACCAATAGAACCCACAACAAGAAGGACGCGTAAAGCCCTAAAGCCCGTACTTGGAGGGTCAGGGGGACTCAGAAGTAGGGTAGTAACCCATATAACCAATGTAATAACCCTAGTTATCCTCATTATTAACCTAGTTACTTTGGGATAACTGGGGTTCTTATATGGGTTATAGGGGTTACTACCCTACTTACTAAGTCCCCATGACCCTCCAAGCATAGGAAGGAAGACTTGCACCCAGCTTGCAGCCGCGTGGCTCGCACGTCACCCGATGCTGGTCCGTGCTACGAAACATCTGGGCATCCTGGTATCCCGCAACTGGGTACAGCAGGTGGCCTAAAGAGGGTTTAGGGTTTAGGGTTAACATGAAAAATCACACCACCGCAAAGTAGGTGAGGAGCTAATGGGGACCTAACTTTGGCACACGACACCTTCACAAATAACTCTGCCTTGATAGCCCCTGAAGGTAACCTCGGAAGTCGTCATACCGAACCCTTGCGTTTTTCTACGACTAACGCTTATCCCTAAATTCTAGTCAGGTTTGCTGCCTATTTGGTTTGGGATTCAAGTCTTTCCCAAAGCAGCCATAGCATAGGATGCAAGTTTTCGGGATCCGCTCCTCCATTCTCTACGACTAAGTCTCAAGCCTAAACATCGAACCCTAGACCGATAACCCCGTGCCAAAGCCCTGAACCACATGGGGGAAACGATCAGCTAATGATGGGGCCTAAGTATATGACCAAGCTAGAAGAAGCTTCTGGGACACATCACGCGATAATCAGACAGGGACAGAAGGACTATGTTGCATTTCTGCTGCGCTACAATGGACAAGCTAAGATGCCTGAATTGAACATTCAGCCTAGATTGCGCACCTTCATTGCCATATCCTAAGTGTCGATCGCTTTTGAGCTTAAATCCAGCTGTTCTAAGTTAGGAACATGAACGCGCCCTACCGTTCCCGGCATGACCCCGCCTCGCGAGGTGTGATGATGGCTGCGAACTTCTTGTTCCCAACATCCTGGAACAGCAAGGGACTGCCTTCCTTATGGTAAAGAGATGCGCTGCGATTTGTTGATGACAAAGCTGTGCAACAAGATGAGCTTTCACAAGCTGGTTCCTACTTTCTAGCCCGCCGCGTGGGCGTAACCGGAAACAAAAACTTGAATTTTGACAGAGCCTAACCAAGAGCTACAATGTACTGTCAGGGAGCATCCTCTGCAGCGGCACAACAACTAGCTCCACGGCATGAACCCACGCAACAGAAAGTGTAGAGTCCTCGTCATAGACCTTTCGGATGTGCTCCATCTCATGGGGCAGAAGCGGCGCCACCGCCTCAGCGCACGTATTGAGTTTGAGGCAAGTTGCCAGAGGGCCCAGTAGGAAGGCTTTTATATTGCCACAGGCGTATGGCTACCGAATGGGGTTTGGCCGTTGCGGCGAGGCTGGAGCTACCAGTATGTCCGCGTGATGTTGGCCTTGGGCGTTAGCATGAAGGATCCAGGATCCCCTGGCCTGACATACAACTTGAGCCTCTGAAGTTTAAAGCGATAATCCTAGCAGGAATAGCAGGTCCCAAAGCTCCATCACCCGAAACATACAGACTGCTGAAGTTGCTGAATCGAAAGCCCTGAAGCTCGTGAACAGCTGATCCGCGAGCCTAGATGAGTGGCCCTCAACTGCCAGCCATGAGAAGCTTCACTTGAGCTCAAACAACCGCAGTTTGCGAAGTGTTGATCAACGAGGCAAAATGAGTTTGCCTCACCATCCAAACTCCACAAACTTCTACCTCCTCCCATCCCCAGAGCTCTGAACTTCAAGATCGCAGCTCTTAAGGCCTAACCCCAACTTCGAACCATGTTAAAGACAAAAGAGTGGAAGAATCCAGGAATAAGGAACACATAATTAGTTTCCGTGGAAATCTCTATGGGTGCTCCCCATAGAACCCCCCAAACATAATGCCTGCAATGGGTTCAATGATGATCCCCCAAACCTACCCTCGCCCCTGTATAGCGTATCTAATCCCAGTTTCCATTTCATTATCCATTTCACTTTCCATTGGGTTCTCGATTATTGGGGGACAACCTCCCTGAACCCTGAACCCTAAATCGTAGTTTCCAAGTTCTTCTTCCTTATTCCTAATTTATCCTTATACAACCAAGGAGCCAACTCCCTGCCAGATCCTAAACCCTAAACCCCTAAACCTTAAACCCCTAGACCCTAAACCTAAACCCCTAAACCCCTAAAACCCCTAAAACCCAAAATCTGAGGCCTGCGCTGAGGGGGCCATGGGCCGTAGGTTCTCGACCCCCATCGGGATCCCAAGCAGATGGGGGCCGTCTTGGCCACCCAAGGTTGGTTCTAAGGCACCAAAGGAAGCTAGGGGTGTTTAGGTTACGTAGGGGGATCTGAGCAATAGTCTAAACTCCTAGTATCCCCCATTAGTGACCCGTACACTACTCCCCTAGATTATCCCCTGCATTACGCCCTTTAAGGAGTTTAGACTATAGCTCATATAGCGGCAGGTAAAATTATGTACCCAGCTTTTGGAGTGAGGGGCTTCAGGGCTTGAAGCCTTGTGGGTTGAAAGGCTTCAGGGTACAGTAAGGGTTCAAGGGTGACAGGGTCGTTTGTATGCAGCTTTTGGGAGTCGGGGGCTGGGTCTGGACTCCTCACCTGTTGAGATTTCATCAACCTGGGGTTTGAATAGCCAGGGTAGGTCTCTAGAACTCAACAAAAAGCATTGCAATGTGGGACCCCTTTGCCGGCAATAACTCAATATCACCCAGCGATACTAAGCAGTTGCCATCATGTATCCCCCCCCTTGCTGCTTCTAAAGCTGAGAGCCACCCAGCCGAGAGCAACCAAATCCACTCCTTTTACACCTTTCCCATACCTACAGGCTCAGGGGACTTTGTGAGGTCAGAACTGGTGTTGGAAGCCTCCAGATTGAGGTTGGAATGCATCTGGAGGCCTAAAGTCCTGCTAGACTTCATTTGGAGGGAAAAACGTCTTTCACGGGCAGTGGATCTCTTTGGGCTCAGCGGATTTCACGAGGCTTTTATATCGGAAATTATATACAATAACAGAAAGGAAGTTGAGTTTGAATTGGAAATCTCCTTTACTTCCTAGGTCCTAGGCGTTCATTGTTGCTATCGGGCTTGCACAGGGGAACCGATGTAAAACAATCCTTGCTTGATTTGCCAAACATCATTTTTCTGTTTCATGAAATGTTTCTTAGGAATGTGCTGCAAGAGTCTCAAAAAAATCGGGTTGGCTTTTGAGATTTCTCATAATTTCCTGCCTTTTCTTGGCTTTGCGTAAGCCCTTTTAGGAATAAGTTGCACCTTATGATTCATGATAAACGTAGGAAGGTTAACTTTTGTATTCGTAAGCCTGTGCACCTAAAACCATCCCGCAATTCATGCGAAACCTGTGCTAAGCAACCACACCGATGCCGCTGGCTACGTTGTAACCACCACGACGAATCCTCTTACTCCTACCCCTCCTGGCATTACAGTCGCGACAGCCACCACCACTATCACTGCCATCAACTGTGCTGCTGCTGGCGAAATAACCACCTAGCATTGAAATCAACATCATCAGCAGTAGTAGCATCTCGTCGTCAACATCGTCAGCATCACAAACTCTGTTGCATTCAATGTCCGTGCTGTGCTGCAACTTTTATAAAGCTACTCACCCTTCAGATGTCCTATACCCGAAACGCCCAAGCTACACCCTGTTTCCACCACTCCACAAAACAGCAGCGTCAGGAGGCCCGGGGAGACTTCGCGCGGCCATTGTAGCTCACACGCCGCCTGCCCAGAATACCCAAGGCATGCCCAGGGCCAAGAGTCCGCAGGGTCCTAACGCCCGCACCGGGCCTTCTCCCCTGCAGAGCTGAGACCCTAAGCATTCCAAGCTGTCAGTGGCTGTGCCAGATAACTGGCAATGCTAGGCTACGGCCTCAAAGGGCCTTTCACCGCCCAAAAGTCGGCCAAAAAAGCTCCCAGCAGCCCGCAACTTTTGCAGGGGCTGAGGCTCGACTGTACACATGCCAGCTATACTATGCTATACAAGAAGCGCCCGGAGAAGAGTACGCACGTAACTATAGTCAGCTGTCAGAATCTGTGCGGGTCAAGCGGCAAGAGGGGACTTTGAATTTCCGAATCTCTTCCAATGAACCGCTAGGATTGGGATTCTGCTGAAATGTGTTCTCCACCACGTCTTCCAGTAGGACTGCTTGATAATATCGGCGCTGAATTGGCGATGCTACCACTGGTGATATGCTTACTGCACACACCTGTCGAGGAGTGCGCTGACTTGACGAGGAGTGGGTTAACTTGTGGCCATTGAGGACTCGGCACCTAAATAGGGGTTAATCACCACCATACCAAAAAATGGGTTGCCATGCAATCCCAGATCAGAAGAAGAAGAAGATGTTGTCAGAGGGAATGACCTAAGCCTTCCGAAGCCAGAGACTAAGAGCCAGCAGCCCATATGCTCATGCCTTCATAACTAGAATACCACACCCAAAACACAAAACTAGACTCTTCCGCTAGCATCTACAGCTAAACACGGCAGCCGACTCTACATAATGAACCTTAATCATCTTAATTTGTAGGACCTGTGGGAAACTGAAGCTCCTATGTCCTCGGAGACGTGAACAATCCCGCACCCTTCTGACATTCTTTATATCTTGATGGGCATGCCCCTAACCTGCTTCCCCCTCCCCTTTGCCATCTGGGAGGCCCCAGAGCGCCCGCTTCGAATTACTGAATTCTTCCCTCTCCAGCAGCTAATCGGACCTGACGAAGGAATGGGTTCTAGCGAGGTGGCGGAAAGAATTTGGGTTCAGTGGACTTTGGAATGAAGGTCTTACGGGCAGTGGTGTTGGGCAGAGACCCCAGGATGATGACGCAGCCCCACTTCCACTATGGCGGTTTTTATCAGGGGTGCAGATTCCGAAATGTAAGCAATTCTGGTTGGGAGTATGAAATTGATGGGCTTGCAGTCAACCAATTTAAAAAATCTCGTCACAGGCCAGTCAAAGAGTCTCCATGCTAGAAGACATACATCAAGCTTCACAGGTTGAAGGCGTGCAATTGTAAAAGGATTGCATGGTTTTGGGGGTTACACACTTATACACGTGGACCCGGATTGTTGAGACCCTAAACCCTTCAGCCACAGCCGGAACCTGTAGATTCTTTGCCTGAACCTCTAGATTCTTCGCTTGGCTGCAAAGAACCAGACCTGAGAGATTCTTTGTGAAGGTAGTTCAGGGTCTGGCTCCCAAGGGAGGATAAGCAGGGTCATTAGCCCGGTGATGAGCACTCTATAAGCGCTCCTTCTTCGGCCATGCACAAGGGCTCAACAAGCGCATAAATCTTATCGGAAGAGGTTTTGCTCAAATCCAGGTCCCCCAGGCCCGCCAATGTCTTCCTTGTTCCCTTGCTATAACCCCAATAGATACCCTAGTATAAAGTAAGTGTCCAGGCATGCTTTTTTCCATGATCCCTACACAACCCCAGCATATAACCTTATTCCCCTACTAATATCCCAAGATGTACCCCATTATACATTTAATAGTTTCCACCTTCTTTTTCCGTTATCCCTACATAGCCCCAATATGTTCCCTTATTTCCCCCTCCCAAAAACAGAGGCCATGGCATCAGACCGCCGTGCAAGTGCCTGGGATTCGGGATTCTGAGGGCCTGTGGAGGCGTTTTGGGGGTTGAGGGGTTTAGCGCTTCGTGATGCGGGACATAGGTCTGCAGCTTGTCTCAGGGGGGTTCGGCTCAGGGATGAAAGATTTAGGCTCCCAACTTTGACCAGCGGAAGTTACGTGACTCTGGGCAAAAAAACTGAAAAATCCTTCTGACAATGGTACGTTGGAAGTCCTTGCCGGAGAGTTGTTATGACTGCAGGATTTTCTTCTTCGCGCGGGCAGTTGGAACATCAAGCACATAGCTGGCAGCCGTGGCTCAAGGATGTATAGTCAAGGCTGTCTGCTCATAAGAGCTTGTGAAGCACCAACTGATTTCGAAGAAAGTGGAAGATTCTCGCTACTTCCAGCCCTCCAGGCACCTTTGAACTTGGGCCCCCCCTCATTAAGAATCTTCAGGTGCATCCCGACCACAAGGAAGCGCTCCCACAGGAAAGCAGGCATGGCGTCCGCAGTTTCGCTCGATGTATGAACTCTAAAAGTCCTTGTCCTTGACCTTTCGGCGTGTTTTTGAATAAACCCAAGAACATCTTCCCGATTGTACGAATGTAGAGAAGAAGAACCTAGTCTGCGAAATCTTCTGCAATCTCGCTGAATGTGCTTCAAAACCACACAAGGTGCCATCAAGAAAGCTGCATAAGCAAGTTCAGCTTCTGGGGTGGGTTCCTCAATGTAATCATTTTTTGCGGAGATTGTCGAGGATCAGGTCCCCCATACTCCAGATTCTGCAGTAGGTTGAGATTAAGTCTACTGCTCACTGTTCAGGCCAGGCTGGCAGGTAGTAGCTTGAAAATAACAAAGAACACGTCTTGATCATGTTTAGACTTAGCCACCAGGAAGCAACACGAAACAAAAGACCAAAATTTTCTGAAACCACACATGGACCAGCTGACAAGAGAAGACAGAACCCATGTGATCGAAACCAGGCCGCAGATTGCCGGGTCCGTGTTGCAGGGCCACCACTTGTAGCCCTCGGCACAAACCTTGCAGCGCCTTGGCAGCTGAAGTGTTTCGGATGACTAGTCAGAAATTCAGGGGGGTTCCAATACCAACATACCCCGAAAAAAAAAAAAAATGTGATGGCGTGCGTTGTGTCACCTGGCTATTTGAGAGAGTTGGAGGCCCTGCAGCGTACTCCTATGAAGTATCGTCCTAGTTACAGGGGTCTCCAGAAGGCGACTCCCTAATAGTCATCCGCATTTCACAGAGACTGTCTGCATTGTTAAGTTACTATTGGCCAGCAAAGCACATGAGAGTGCTGTCGAAACATGCTTTCAGGGAAAGATTTATGCGCATGCCGTAGTCAGGTTGGCGCTATCTTCATGTTCTGTTAGCTTCGTGCCCCACACCGTCCGCATATGCCCTCATCAGAGCCCCTCTACATCTCTCCATAGAAGACAAACACATTTAAAAGAGAACCTGTCAAGCATGTATATACGTATTTGCTACACTATATTAATATTATGTCCTGGCAGACAGTATATACATATTTTCTGTGTGCGTATACATATATAGAGTATGATGCATTCGGAATCCAGCAAAAGGCCGTGGTGTCTCACAGACCAAGGATCCAGTGCTTTGGGGTTGATGGTTTGTGGGGCCTAGCAAATTACCAATAACAGAGAACTACATGGAAAAGAGCGTGAAGAATGAAATAGAATCTGCGGTTGCCGAGAGGTTCGCAGGGATTGTGCCATGTCTGAATAATTATCAATATCATTTTGAAGTCTATGTAAGGCACCATATACCATGACACTACAAGGAGTCTGGGACATAATTCTGGTAATCATGAGGGCCCCGATAGTATACACGGAGAACTTTCTTTTCAATACAGCTGCATGCTTGCGCCGCAATCATGGAATAGGCTTGCAAAGCTATGGTAATTACATTTTAACAACTCCTGAAGATGTGTTCTAACCAATTTACTAAATCTGCAGCTAATCCAGGAGCCCAGGTGCTCGAGGGTAGCTCCATTAGGCGGCAAACCCTGCCACGAAAGCTGTTTCTTGGTTCGGGCAGCTCAGACAGAAGCCTTAGAACTGAGTGTGCTTGGGATCATCTTGAGAAATACAAGGATCGCAACACTCTGCATAGGCTGGGTCGAGAACTTGAGAGCCAAGGACTCAGGACCAAAAAGGTGTGGAGGATCCCCTCCAAATGCTTATGATACTTTTAGCATCGTATACATCAACTCGCGAATGTTTTAGGCCTCTACTTAGGAGACCCTCGAGTCCACACCTGGCCTCCGTGGGGACGCACACCAGGCCGCTTCCTGGTGTGGTGGAGGGTGCTGCGGTGGTCGGCGGCATAGTTTGCCTAGTGGTCGTAGTTGTTGTCACCTTGCATCGGCTGCACTTCGAGCTAGTTTACGTCTGCGCTGAAGCCCAATTTTCAAGCACGTACAACCACATTGCTGAAAGATACCAACTTTGCAAAGCTAGATTCAGGCTATGGGCTTCACACAAGACCACAATAGGTCCCTGTGTAGATATGATGCTCTCACCAAGTACCTCCCTTTACTGTACGACTGCAGCAAACTTCCTGGCTGACAGCTACAACTGGGATTCTTGGAACCCTAGACCCAACAGGCTTCTGCCTCTCATCCCAAGGCCTCAAACCACAAAAGCCAATTTTCCCAAACTGGAGCCCTCTAGCCGTCTAACCTCAGCGGAAACATGTGACAAACAGATAACTTCGTGTAGCCCCAGTAGAGGAAGTCGACTATGCCCGGATGAACTGCAAGGCCACCCCGAAGCGCGACACTCGAACGTAATCTAAAGCTACATGCGTTTGTTGGAGGCAGCGTTTGCCTGTCTTCCACCCTTG